ACTCTGCCAAAAATTTTTTTTTACAAACTTCTACAGTAAAGTATTCATCCCAATTCGAGTTCGATTTCTGGTAGAATCCCAGTTTGAATTCGAATTTTGATTAAATTTTTTTTTCTTACAAACTTTTACAGTAAAGTATTCATCCCAATCGAATTCGATATCCTGTAGAATCCCAATTCATATTCGAACTTGAAGGAAAATTTTCTTTTTTTAAACTTTTACAGTAAAGTGTGAAAGTTTCGTAGTATTCTGTTCGCAAAATCGTAGTTATATTCAAACTCGAATTAGTCAGTTACTCTAGTTTATAGACTTTGCTTCTTTAACGCTTGATTTAGACGCTTAACCCACTAAAACTGATGTTCATCACAAGAAAACTCCTTTAGTACAACAGCAATGAATGTTTTTATTCGGTCTCAAAACCTAGTTTAAGTGTCTGCAGAGCACCTTCAGTAAAACTAGACAACCCATCAGCAAAATCCATCTTGAAAAATGACAAGAAAGTTCATCTCATTTATTTTTATCACTTCTGCAACAAAAGACAGTTCGTAAACCAACTAAAAGCTTAGATATAACAGCAGAAAATAACGGTTCTTTTGTCCATTTTCTTATAACGGTCTATATAAAAAATGCGTTCTCATTCGTTATTTCATCAAGCAACAAAAGAATATTAAATGATAGATGGCGTATTGCCTTTTTTTCACCTTTCATTATACCTATTCACGCGCTACATCTTCTGTTTTCATTAACTAAGTATTATATGCAATTTATCTCATCTAATAATGTAACTTTAATTAAAAAAAGTTACTCTTTCGGTCGCCATATTGGCCTCTTCCATATTTTTTCTTCTGGATGCTAGTTTTCAACGAATGCTGAAGTTAGCATCTATTGGATGCTACTATTGGATGCTAACTTCTTACAACGTAAAAATGGCCGTAGACGGTACGGTAGTATTTTTCGTTTCTTCCTCTCTATTTGTTGAATAAAAATTCAGTCAATAGCTATATCCTTCAACAGATGTCGCATGAATTCGAATATCGGCTCTGCCATTTAGTATGTAGAAAAGGTATTACCTTATGTTTGAAGCGAAGATTAATTAAATAGAAACTTGTACTCTAATAGTAGTGAGTTAATTACTCTTGATAACTGTGGGAACTATTCATTGCATCTTAACACCTTTTAGACGGGAAAAGAAAAAAGTCGTTTTTATGAAAAGTATGAATTTGTAAGAACCCAGACTAAAGTCAAGGAAACGTTTGTCCAATTTATATATATAAGCACAATATTTTGATTTTCGATCAATTACAATATCGAGCTAGCGTAATTGTATCTGGAGCCTTCATTGCATTTGAGTAGCAAGCATGCGAGTAGAGAAATCTCAGGATGGGTGGAGCTAAAAAATAACTTTTGAGCTTTTTAAACTAAAGCTGATGCATGAAATTGTTTCAGGTCAAGCACCGCATTTCTTATGTAAAGATATCCATTCCACCTGAGACAGTAAAACATTTCTTTGTCTCTTTTCCTAACTATCGTCGAACGAGAGGAAACCTATTTAAATAAATAAAACAACGTGACTCAGACACTGACAGCAACATGAACCTACTACTATTACGAAAAGATCTGAATTTGGAACTATAAAAATCTCTACAGAATGATTATACAATATGATATTGATACCGACAGACGTTAAATATAGGATTATGTCCTTACTACTCCACATCTTTTTTTTTCAGAACAACTTTTCTTTTCATTATTATCATTTGTGTTTAATGGTTAGAGTAATATCTTGTAAGGTCACCCTCCAACTATGTAATGCTCATCCGTCTTATATCTGTAAAAAGCATTGAGATTTTCGCCCAAAAGTGAAAATCAACCAAACATGTCGAAATACACATTAATCGATTCGCCTTTTGATCCTTATTCTACACATGATGCTTTTATTTCATAGAAGTTGCATTTTGTTGGAGGTAATTGACAATTACGAGTAACTAATATTATAGTCACGACTGTAGCCCGCGAAATTCTGATTAAAATGAGACATCCTCTATAGCTCTGAGGTGACAATAAGCATTTAGGGCTTTTCTTGTAAATTCAAGAGGTCGTGTAGAGCTGGGAGATGTCTCATTTTAATCAGAATGTCGCGGGCTACAGTTGTGGCTTATTCAGAAAAACTCTTGGAGATTTTTCGAGGTTTCTGGAAAACCAGTTTTCCAGAAACCGGTTAGGAAGAGTCCATTAGGCAAAAGCGGCTATCATATTCGGGATCAGCATGGTCGATTCCTATCAACTACCGCATTTCGTTAGAAAAACGGTTGGACACCTGGAAAGGTTCCTCGTCAATTTGCAATGCTAAATAAGAAGAATGCAGCAATAATCAACACTACTATCCATCCCAAAACACAAGGCATCCCGATTGTTTGTTGAATAACTCAAAAGGAATAAAAGATAGAGACATGCGGTTTTCAGCAATCGAAAGACGACAGTTTAAGCTATATTGCCACAAGCACGATCGTCTTTCAAAAACATTCGAAAGATTAGTTTCCTATAACCAGTGTTCCGAAATTCCAGAAATACTGAAATTCTGAAATTCTCTCTTTCTCGAGAGTATAGAATTTCGAAATTCTTGAGATTCTGAAATTCTAGTGTTTGTGGTTGTCTCTTTCTCGAGAGTATGGAATTCTGAAATTCCTTGGATTCTCAAATTGTAGTGTCGATGATTCTCTTTTTCTTCCACATGTGGAACTCTGAAAATTCCCAAGGTTCTGAAATCCTAGAAATTCTCAAATTCTCTCTTTCTCGAGGGTATGGGGTTTCTGAAATTCCTGAGATTCCGAAATTGTAAATGTTTTATATTTTGAAATTCTGTGGAGTTTAGGTTGTCGGGAATTTCAGAGTTTGACTGGAAAGTCATCATTATACTAGATAATGATAATTTGACAGCTCTGAAAGATTTTCCTGTTCACATATACAGCACTATTTAAAATTAGATTCTAGTTGGTGGAAGGGTTGCATCGCGTACTAAATTAATTAATGTAAGGCTTGTAGATCAGATTCAAAACAAAAACCACTGTCTTTTTGGGTAAACACTAGGTCGGAATACTCATACGTGTTATACTCAAAAGAGTAAAGACATTTAAACTATTAGACTTTCTGAACACTAGAGCTAGAGGAGAATTGTGGTCAAGGGGGGAACACCGTACTCCGCTAACTCCGTCACCCCGAGGAGTTTAACCGGAGTGGATGGGGTAGTGGAGTAATCCAGAGTGACGGAGTGGTCGGAGTGCCCTTGGAGTGAATGGGGTTTCATGTTATTTAACTGAACTCTGTGAGTACAGTTAACCTATTATTGTGTATTGCAAAATCTTTCAGTCACACCCCTAGCGCCAGGGTTTCCAAAGTATCCCACTTCAAAATATTTTCTTGCCCAAAATCGATAAAGTCCCCATTTTACTTGGTGAGTAGTGGAGTATGGTGTTTCCCCCTTGAAATTATCTGGCGTTCAAAAGTGGCTCAAAACGGCATAGCTCAGAAAATGCGTATGTGTCATCCTTCTGTGAAAAAAATATTTCTGTTATCATTTTTCGATCTTCAAACCTTAAAAATGTCATCTTGCTGTGACAACATGTTCTATGAAGTGAGATAATTTCTTTAGAAGAGCCGATGTAATTCAACAAAGAGAAAGGATGATGATATGACGAAGCGTCATCATCTTATCTCTACTGTTATGTTTTGTTTGCTATCTACCATAAATTTAAGTTGGAAAGAAGCGTAAATCTAACTTATATAAACATTAGAATGTAGTTTGTTAAAAACTACAAGGTAAAAATGGAAGAAGAACAAATATCGGCTTGTTTAGCTAACGGTTCCCTTTTTTCGCTCATTTTCAAAAAATTATTGCAATAAACCTACAGACTAATCCATAATTGTAACTAGATAATTAAGTAGATTAAACATTTCTGTACAAAATGACAAGTGCTTCGGGTCTAAACGTTCATTCGTTATGGAAATACAGCTGTTGTACAAACAGCCCAAAAAATCGGTTTTGATACTTTATTTGTCACAGCGTCACGGTTTGCTGGTTTTTCTTTGATTAATACAGATTAATTAGAATAGTCTTGAACTTAAAAAGCTATCACGTCTTGTAAACCAAACAATTACAAACTGGTATACTTTTTAAACTTTAGCCTGCTCGTCTTTACTCTTTTAGAGACGTTTTTCAGATGGTCCCAAAATCGAGTTTTTGGGCTGTCTGTACAACAAGTGCATTTTCATAACGAATCAACGTTCAGAGTCGAGACACTTGTCATTTTGTAGAGAATGTTTAATCTACTTAATTATCTAGTTACAATTGTGGATTCGTTTGTAGCTTTATTGCAATAATTTTTTGAAAATAAGCGAAAAAAGAGGTTCGCTGGACAAGTCGTGTCGCAAGTTCATTATACTGAGCATGTCGTAACAACGACATTAATGAAGTTATAAAATTACAAAAAATATAAATTTCGAAACCCTGAATACCACTGAACCAAATTGTGGTACTGCTTTGCATGTAGCATCGTGCTGTAGTCGTAATGATATTGTTAAATTAATACTTAAACGTGGTGCATCTTCAAATTCTCCAGTATCCTATTCTATCATTATTCTATTAAGATGTGTCATGTTTTTGAATCATATATTGTTATGTTAAATAAGCTAAAAACTTTAAAAAAAGAATTCATTATTCCAGCAAAACCTATTTAATCAAGCAAAAAGTATTATTTCAACATCGTCCGCCACATTATTTTTATTCGCTTTGTTTTCTCTATCATGCTTCTCTTAGTAACATTCGGGTTTAACTGAATGAACTCGACTTTTCTCGGCAAATCGGAAATATTCCAATGATGCTGCTAAAGTCGTTCCCACACAAGAACACGTCAATTAGTAAAGAGTGGGAGGTTGTGTGAGTGAAGCAAAAGAAATGAAAGTATATCTGCTATTCCTCCTTTTACATGGCTCATGCTCTAATAATGACCACCGGTGTTTTTAATGACCAGTGGACAAGCGATGATTCTACAGTGGAAAATCTGGCAAAAAAATCTACCGCGGCAAAAATTTCTATTAAAATACTGATGACCACACGTAAACATGTAAGAATATGTAGCAAATTAACAACATCAATTTCTTTTTACAAAAAAGATTTAGATACGTGTGTTTTGTTATGCTCTTTCGGCTTTGACTTTTTCCCCTTGAGTTCCTTGTTACTTGTTAAACACCTCATCCTTAAACCCACTTGAAAAGCAAGCCATAGTCCAACTTTTTTAGGAAATTCTTATCTGCTTTTAGCATTTTCCGGCCAAAGAGAAAACACTTATCATACTTCAGCTGCTCGTTGGTGGATAAAAAACAATAAAAATATTGGTTTTAGCCTCTTCCTATTCAACAAGAATATTCACTTTAAAGCCAAGATTTTCTGATTTTCTTGCACAATGATTGCCGTGAAAATTTTTGTTGCATTATGTGATAAGTATAACAGTAGATTAGTATATAGACATAGGGCGAAAGTAACACAGATATATTATATTGTTTTAAAAATAACAGAAATATCTTTTTATATTCGACATCCTACAGAATATTCATTTGAAAGCCAACATTTTGCGATTTTCTTTCACCATGACTTCGTGGTAAACTTTTGGTTGCATGGTGTGATAAGTATATCAGTAGATTAGTTTATTGACATGGCGAGAAAGCAACACAAATATATTATATTGTTTTCGAAAATGAAGTAAATATCTTTTTATATTCGACATCCTATTTAATAATAAGGGTACGTGTTGACCTTGACAAATACTGTTATAAAACATAGCATGAAAACGGGAATTTTTCAAAAATTAAAAGGAAGGAAACTGTCGTGAAACCACCTCGATCTTGGTACATATGATTCTTCTTTTCATCTAGATGATTATTCTTCTTCTTCTTTGTGGTCTTATACATACCGTTTTATCTGAGCGAAATGATATAGTTTCGAGGATATATTCGGGGCGAGGTCCGTGGGGTGATCATAGACCATGGGTTTATTGTCTACCAAATACATGGGCGATGGGATTTCGGCAACGTGTTGAAGGTTCTTGTGGCAAATGTGATGATACAGCACTTAATGCAATTCAACTAGAATGTGCCGGTCGTGATGGTACACAAACACATAAGATTCAATCATACGACGGCATGTGGGGTTCCTGGGGAAATGGTAAATACTGCAGCGATGGACAAGGTGACTGGCTTGTTGGAGCCTCATTTAAAGTTGAAGGAGAGCAAGGCGGCGGTGATGACACAGCTGCTAATGCTTGCCGTTTTAAATGTTCAAAATCAAATACTGATATCTACGCAAACAATGATGGTCCATGGGGTACTTGGTATGGGATGGCAAGCTGTCCTCCATCAACAGCTATCTGTGGTTTTTCACTAATTTTTGAATATACTACAACTTCTAAACGTGATGATACAGCAGCAAATGGAGCTGACTTAGCCTGTTGTCGAATAGGTCTGTTACCGTTATTCTGCTTCACTGATCGTTCCTTTCTCTTTTTCTTAATGAGCGTTTCTAATTCATTTAAAAACAGAGATTTCGTCAAAATACGCGTTCACTCTTGGAAATTTGTCCTCTTCTGTGTGCCTCTTACACACGGACAGAATAGCACCTTTTTGTTTCCTCTACATTAGTCTGATAGGCTTAACTTAAGAATATTTTTATTTTATCTTTTTTGAGACTCATGCATGTACAATCCATGTCATGATGGAACCTATTGTATTCAAACCGACAGTTACAATTATAAATGTAACTGCACAAACGGGAAACAAGGAAAACATTGTGGTTGGTAACAGATCGGCCGTGCCCAAAACAAACATATTCTTTAGTATTTAAAATTTAGATCAGCCGTGCATTAACAGTAAGCCGTGTGCCAACAAAGGACGATGTGTTTCGAATAAGCGCCAGTGTAGTTTGATGTGGGAGGTGGGGAAAACGCTAATTAATTAAATGCAAATAAACAAACTCTTGCGTTTTATTTTTATCTAGGGAATAAATTGTGAAAAGAAAATAGGTGAGCTGTACGGTTACCAAAGAGCTGTTTAAGTAATCTTGTCCGTTTTTCTTACTGCCAAGATCCATGCGACAGTCATCCGTGCCGAAATAGAGCCGAATGTATTCCCAATCCAAATGATTTAGATTATCGATGTGATTGTAAAAATAACGGCTTTCAAGGAAAGCATTGTGGTATGTAAGGATAATTGTGCCGAGTAGTTAGGCGAACTATTCACTGTAAAATATAAAGTGTGCCCGCTAGTGTGTGCATTTCTTCAAGTGCGCATTTCGAGTCCAAAATGATGTGCAGTTGCTTGAATGAGTAATTTATAGTGTATTCTGGGCACAATGACCAGGCTGTTTTCAGTAGGCATTTTGAGTCCAGAGTGATGTGCAGCTCCACTGTGTCCCAGACACACTTTATTTTTTACAATGTTCACATTCAGTTTAGATACAACATGCAAGCATGATAAACCATGCTATCATGGCGGTATTTGCCAGGAAGGGAGCTGCATCTGTACAGCTGATTATACGGTACGGAACCGCAGTAAATATTACTTAAATCATGTAAGGCAAAGAGTCATCTTCTTGTAGGGCGATTTGTGTGAAAATATAAAGAGTACGTCGCGAATGAATTAAAATCACCACGATGCAGATTGGGTAGTATTTACCAATATTTGTTTTATTTTATTGAGAATCATGTAATAGTAATCCATGTAAGAACGGTGCAGCATGCATACAAGAAGGACTGGATTACCGATGTGACTGTCAACATAGCGGGTTTCAAGGGAAAAATTGCGGTATGTCAAATTCAGATCCTTATTATATATTTACTCGATCAGTTAACAATTCTTATTTTAGATGAAACATGCGCCGGTGGAAAACCATGCAGCAATGGAGGCGTTTGCGAAGCAAGTTTTTGCAATTGTTCATATCCTTACCAGGTATTGTTAAACGCTGTTTGCATTTTTTCATTGCGTAGACTACTTATTTTTCTCATTCTGAAGGGTCCAACATGTGAACAAATAGCAGGTAAGTTATGTGATCGTGTCCTATATTCTCTTAATTAGAAAACGAGTGAACTTCATATTGCTCTGTCTGCGAAAAGCGTTCGTAATATTACAAATACAATGTTACATGTTCACTTATTCTTCTATAAAAATGGCTGAAGCTTATTTTGATGATGGAAACTATTTTGAGATTATGTTACTTCAGAAATCTATAGGACTTTAAACGTTTTTACTGTCAAAGCAGAGCATTTCTTTTGTTCTTTTCTCAGACAAGTTTTTCAGCTCACACAACATTTCCTCACTTGTTGAATATAATTGTAACTTTCTCTTTAAGATATTTGCAAAAATAATCCATGCAAAAATAATGCCGAATGCAAACAGAAGGGTGATAAATATTTCTGTTTCTGTCGGAATAACGGCTTTCAAGGGATTCACTGCGGTATTCAAGACGTCAAGAAATAGTCAAATTCGTGCGACATTTGACATAACTGTCGTTTTAGATGAAATGTGCACGGACGGGAAGTCATGCGCTAATTTTGGTACATGTAACGAAAGTAGATGTGATTGTATGAGGCCGTATGAGGTATGTGAGAAAACTTTCTTCGCTCGTTTTCATCTTGTTCTTATTCAGTATCATACTTAATAGGGACCCACGTGTGAAAAAGCGGCTGACATACGTACGTACTGCTTTCACATAGAACTTTCTTGCACTGTATTTTAACTGCCGCCCACCAACTTAAAACCGTTGCACGTAAACCGTTGCAGGACTTGCAGGTCTCATTCAATATTTAAACCTTTCTCATTTTCCAGCACCGGACGCGACAGGAATATGTATCATTTTTGGTGATCCACACTTGAGAATGTTTAACCAATACCCAGGGGATCCAAAACTGCAGTATCTGTGTACTGAAGAAAGAACATATACCATATTGCAAAATAAACTGGTATCTGTCAAAGTAACAACAACAAGAGTACCGTTTTTCAACGAAAAAGTAAATAAAAAAGCTAAAAATAAGCGTCCGTTTCTTTGTGTAAAGTTCTGTTTTAGTATGAAATTGATTTCTTTGCTGATGGAGCAGTCATTTGTTCCCTTGGTTCTGGCAATCCAGCCACTTGCAGTCACCCGAGTGAGTCGTTACCACCTGCGATGCATGAAAATTTTGAAGAACCCAAGTGAACGTTGTTGCTAGTCAACACTAAAGTTTTAAGAACTTAAACTGCAGCATAATATCGTTACCGTTTAAAAAATTCTCGAGAACTCTGTCTTATCGTTGCCAGCCCATTTTCTATCGCATCGTGATGGAATAATTTTGTTTAACAAATTTTTATCATTTTCTCTCTTATGATGCACGTTTTTTGTGGAAATTTTATATTTATTTAGAACTAAAAAGCTCGAAGCCTTCAAAAAAAATGTCAGCCGATGTTGTGTATTTGAATGAAAGTCTGCGCATTACAATAAAACCTCATGTTAATGTAAGTAAAATTCCTTAACCCTTCAATATGACTTTTCTTGTATCTCGATGCATTTAGTCGTCGACTGGTTTCGACATGGCTATATCTTCTAATTATCCATTGATTCATGTATCAAGTGGATTATGTGTTTCACCGGCAGAAGGATGTGATTATGAAGGTACCCGTTTTAAAAAACGCCAAGGTGGTCATCCTCGAGTAGGATCGAAGTTAACAAAACGAGAACCAACCAAACGAGAACTCATAGTTAATCTTATGGCTGAAGATATTTGTAAGCTATTCGTACAACAAGCCAAAAAGACAGCATTGGGGGCGGATGCTCCAACAGATGATGAAATGCTAGAAGAAATTTTGATTGCTTGTATTTTTGATACTGAAACAACTGGTGATAGCACGGTAACAAATGCGTAAAATTTAAATTCCTCCTCCATGTCGTACGTCGTTCTTTCAGATCGGTTCTAATAGCATTTACGTTGCATTATCTGAAGCAATCAACGATTTACCTGCATTAACCGATGCACAATATGAAAATTATGTTGTTAAAAGTGTTGAAATTACCGAAGAAGCCATTGCTGATAGTATTGCTAGTGTAAATTTTATAATTGAGGAAGCAATTGCCGCTTCATTTAGTAGTAAGTTAACGTGCACTTACTTTTTTTTATTTCAAAATAATCTTTTCTAGACGAAACTTGTCCTCCAGCTGTTCCATCCTGCTGTGATCCATGTTCGTACAGTACGTACAAAAAAATTTCTTGTTGTAGTGGCATAGTTGAGCAGCTGCAGTTCGTCTATGTTATGTACGTCTTCTTATCATTTCAGCAAATGATTATTATTCAAAACCGATAGAAATCATAGAGTGGGGTGGTAAGTATCGCTTTTTTAGAAGTATTATTATTATCTGATTCTCAGTCTGTAGTGCCGTTTCCCAACCCGTGTTTATCTGGCCTACAAGCCTATGCAGCAGCCCCTCTTTGGCTTGGTAAACAAACATATTTTGAATGTAATCAGCAAAATAAACGATTAGAAGCAATCAAAACATGTCCGAATGACCATGTCTGGATATCAGCGGTAAATGGGTGCCAGCTGTGTAAAGGAGTTGAGGAAGGGTTTTCGGAAGACACTTATAATTCGGAACATTGATACATTTTTCAGAAAAAGGTTTCTTCTACTTTTTAAGAAATAGAGCTGTCAATCAATATCAGAGATAAAAATTAGTAAAATAGATCCGTTTCCACTTAGTT